CCTGCCATGCTTGAGGCGAGCCCCAGGGGGGTTCGAATACTGCAAGTGACACCGGCGTTCTCCGCGGAGACAGGCGGGCCCGGCTGTTCGAATGCCGGGCACCACTGGCGTGGGTGCTCTGGGTGTAGGGCACCCGCCCAGCTCCCGGGGTTTGCTCTGATCCCGGGGAGCTCACCCTGCACACACGGGGGCGGCCGGGGGAGCCAGGCCTTCCTGCTGTCTGTCCGGTCGCAGGGCCGCGATCTCTCCTCCGGCTCCGCTGCCCAGAGATGGCACCAGGTGGCTTTTGAAACACCACAGGTCTCGGTCTTTGTTTCTGCCGACTCCTATCCCACGTCCGTCTTTCTGTATTGCAGGAAATATGGGCAACTGGAACGCTCCACTCGGAGTCAGCTCAATTCCCATGGGCAGCGCCCGGCTGAGAGTGATGACTGGGGTAAGACAGAAAGACACATACTTTTCTTGCACTAGTGCCCGCTGGGCCCTTGACCCTTCAGAGGAACGAGTGAGACCAGCGGGTCCCGGCCTCACAGTCCGTCCCGGGCTGCCTGGCCGGCCCCTCGGGGCTGTGGAGGGCAGTGGCCTGCTGGGCCCGGGCCTCCCCTCCCACAAGGTGGAGGGCTCCCGAAGGTCATGTTGGCCTTTGGTCTCCTCGCAGAACTTTCTTGTGGCAGCAAATTAAGCCCCGCACAGCTGATGCCACAGAAGTCCCAGGATGAAAGCTCTCCGAGACGGTGAGAAAGAATCAGCAGCCCTGTGATTAAGGACACAAGAACGGTGTTCTGGACACGTCCACTCGGCCTGGGGACGTCGTTGGCGTTACCTTGGACCAGCCATTGTGACAAAGCAGAAACCCAGGGATTGTTGGCATTTTGTAATCAGCTCTTTAATAATTAACTGTGTTCACGCATCGCACGGCTCACGTGTCTTCATTTCCCACAGCGGGCATCTCGCTTGTGACCGTAAAAGCGCCACTTGCCCACTCCCAGGCACATGCAGCTGCGTCATGGGGATCTCGGGGCAGCCACATCCAGGCTTGGCTCACCCGGCGTGCCAGGGGCCAGTCCTGGCATGAGGCTGTTCTTCCCTCGTCTCTGAGACAGTGGGCATGGGGTGCCTCCCCTCTCCACTCGTCCTGCTTTCTCTTGCCCCTTTCACGGCCAGCGTGACCATCTACAGGAGCTAGAGCCCGACCTCCCCAGGGAGCGTTCACAATCGAGGGCCCCGTCCCCAGGACAGAACCAGCACAGCAGGGAGGAGCCGGCACTTCCGCGAGCAGAGCAGCAAAGGGCCTGGGGCCCAGTTCAGTGACCACAGACCAGCCCAGGTCTGTGAGTGAACGTCAGGCCAGAAGTCAGAACACCCGTGAGGGCAGAGACCCCCTCACCCTACACACACAGACACAAGAGGGCGTGAAGGAGCCCGACGGGGGCCTCCACCAGGGCAGAGGGACCCTGCGTCCTCTCAGCACCCTGACCTGGGGCCTCCACCAGG